TCAATTTCGTGCACTCAGAAGATAAGTTCCAATCTCAAAAGCATTCCTTAAGTCTACTGTTTCACCACGCGAGTTCTCGTGATCGATAACACGTTTTTTGTAAATAATATCTCAACACATCACAGCTTGGTTCCTGGCACCTGGTTGAATATGCTTATGTATATTCGCATGTCCCAGTTCTAATTGGTAAAAATAGCACTATTCCCGATACTAAACTCTAAACAGAGTTAGTTGAATCAGCTTTGTTAGTTATATCTTTCCCAATTATTCATTCTCCCATTTCCTCTATTGAAGTTGAAAATGAATCCTTTCTTTTACTTCGCACAGTACAAGCCTCCTCTTGTTGTGATATGAGTCTGGCAATTTGGATCGATTCACATTCTTACCAGAGCCTGTTTTAATGACTGACCTGAGAAGCTCTACCGATCACCTCTTATTAGATATGTTGAAGTTGGTCTGTTCTCTCTATAGGAGTTCAACTGGAAAATTGTTTATCCACAGAAGTAGATTGACCTTGATCCTTACGTCACATAACTTGGACAGGAACCAGGTATGTGACACTGCTGAGGATCTTGCTAAAATTAATAATAACTTCCTGTAGGTATTTTATGGACTCATAGATTACAAGGGGCACCAGATATGCATGCGCCACACACAAAAAATGTCATTTTACTTAGTTGTGTGAGGGCTATGATACCGCTTAAACTGAAACAGGTGGTTTTCTTAGGGGGCCACACCCGGAGCCTTTGACCTAAAGATCTAATCCACAAGGCAGTGGAGCATCGTAAGGAGATGCAGTCCCATGGTAGCCGGTGACCAACGATTGGTTCATACGCCATTTGTTTCATCAGGATCCTGGACCCCATGTGCATCATTAGTTTGGAATCAGGGTTTTCCAACTCCCCTAGGTGGAGTTTCCGTGTCCACCAACCTGGTTAAAGCGCCGGGCATTCGCTTTCCGTCCTCTCAATTTTGTAAACAACACCTCCTACACCATAAAACACTGTCCCGACGTGCAATGTTTTATGGTGCATGAGCAGGTTGGAAAAAAGCCAGGGGCGACCAGACCAAAACATGGCACAAATCCATGAAGTCACTGACAATTGTACTGAGCCTGTTGGTAGGTGTAAACTACCTGGTTGGGACTCGCGAGATGATAGCAATCGATGGTTAGAGACCTTGAATGACATGGCTCAAAATCATTTGCAATGGCGCAGGTACATCCACTCTTTCTGTCCTACCAAATTCTAATCTTCTGAATTCTGAAATCTTTCTACTCTTTCCAAATTTATTTCACTGTATTACACTCCATGAATAACATCTTCAAAACCTAATCTTTCGGTTTACGGCCCACCCGGCGCTTCAACCGGGTTGGTGGACATGAAAAGTCTAACTAAGGGAGTTGGAAAACCCTGATTCCAAACTAATGATGCACATGGGGTCCAGGATCCTGATGAAACAAATGGCGTATGAACCAATCGTTGGTCACCGGCTACCATAGGACTGCATCTCCTTACGATGCTCCACTACCTTGTGGATTAGATCTTTAGGTCAAAGGCTCCGGGTGTGGCCCCCTAAGAAAACCACCTGTTTCAATTTGGGCAGTATCACAGATCTTACACAAATCAAATGAGGTTTGTGTGGTACATATGTATCTGGTGCTTCGTTGTACCAATATTTATGTGTATAAATAAATAAATAAAAACCAGTACGAGCGACAATCTTCTACCGAGCCTCCCCAACGATGACTGATGGCAATATGGTCTATTTGAGTCCATCGTTGGTTTGGTGCAAGTGGTCGCCATGTTAGACAATGTCTCTCTTCTTGCTTAAAATGAACGATTGTCTGAGCACAGTTGCAGCAGACGATCACCATTATCTGTTCGCTGAGCCAAGATACTAAAATACCCTCCTAAATGTCTTTCTGTTTGGTTTAGACTACTTACCTGGGCATTAAAGTCACCTGCTGCAAGTAATATGTCTGAGCATTTAGCTTTTTGAAGAAGTTCAGAGAGTTTTGTGTTAAAGTCATCTTTCACTTCATCCGGGTTGCAGACAGTGGTAGCGTATGCAGAAACGACGAAAAGGCAACGATGTGTCCCTATCCTTCCGAGTTCTTACAGAGCCATTTAGCCGAACAGCAAGTATGCGACGCTTAACGAGGATCCACTCTAATAGTGTTTGCTCTGCTCTCGTAATTAGTTCTATGCCTACACCTGCCAGTTTACGAGAACTAGCCATCGAGTCACCAGATACACGGATGGTGTATCTCGTCACCCCTCCGTTTCGGCGAGATGAGTTCAAGTGAATGACCACACTAGTATCTTGTATGCGTGTTTCGGAGACAGCATACATCAATCGTACAAGATTCTAGGGTCTTAGCCATGAGGCATGTTGGCCGATTTGACATAGGGTACGTACATTGGAGGCTTCACTGTTTAGTTTGGAGCAAGGTTTTAGTAGACTTGGGACATTGATTCGCGCACTAGAATTGTTGGCCATGGTGACACTTGAGGAGGAAGTTTAGTGTTGAAAGTCGAGGTGAGAGGAGTAATAGGAATCGAAGAAGGAGATTAATTAGTGCCGTTAAAGGTATGAGGGTGGTTATCGCTTCCCGAATGCCTACACCATGGAAGGGTTCTTCTAGAGTTACCTGAAAAGAAAATATGGTTCGAGTGTTGGTCTTAGTGACCTGAGAGCATGACTGCAGTGCCAAAGGGACAACTGCTTTTAGGACAGTCACACACGACCTTTTTGTGAGTAGGTTTCGTGTTAGCTACGTACTTTGTGTGTTCCTTACCGCCAGAGACGGAAATCCGTTGAATCAGGCAGAGTGTGCATTCTTGGGGTCGACCTTTTCTAACCCCACCCTTCCTTGTGGGAAGACAGCATCGCTGTTATGTTGATTGCCTAAAGGAAATATCTTACTGCCGTCACACCTCTCTACGGTCAGCAGTACTACTTTGACCTCGGACTTTGGGTCTGCTGCTTTTAGTCTTACCGTTCTTCGATCGACCTGTCTGTCATGATGGGACCTTGAGGAACGGTTTTTCCAGCCAGTATAACCCAATTGGTTCACCACAATAGGCAAGCCCGACCACCACAGCAAGGTAACAGCAACGGTCGGGCAAGGTGTAGATATATACAAAGTGAGCTACCTATCCTCCGAACACACATCGTTAGCCAAGTCTTAAAAACTACTGCACACTGCCATTTGATAGCTGCCGGAGGTTTTAGAACCTTATAGTCAATACGTAGAGCCCTTAGCCATGTAGACGCTAAAACGTTTCCGAATTTGTACACAGTGTTCGTGCGCCCTAAACCAGAGTACTACGTACAAGCGGCTAGCCCCTGTCTGAAAAGAGGTAGTGAACTGTTGGAAAACTTTAAGAGAACTGTAAATAAGCCGATTACTGGAATATCAAAGTTTCCGTATGATGCTCGACATACTAAACTATAACCTTTTTTTCCATCGTCATATCGATTAACCAGAGGCGACTTGACCACAGTTTTCGAATTACTTAGTAATAAGTTTGCATCTAATATGCCCTCATTTTTCTTGTCTTCCAAAACAAAAAATTTACGAAGAAACTTCATAAGAGTTCATAACCTCAGAACAGATTACTTGTCAGATGACTACTGACTTTCCCATTGAATCATCAGCGAATAGAACTCACTAACTCAACACGTAATTGTGGCTCCATCTGTCGACGCTTTCAAAAGAAGGTTGGATCAACTCAGAGACCACCACAGTCAGGACAAACACAGGCCGCCTAGCCTCCTGTCCTTTCCTAACTGAAACTGATAGTTCATATTGCTATGTCAACGTACGTTTCCTAACAACTTGTCGCCAACTAGTTAGGAAACTAAATCTAGAGAGAATGTTTAGTGCATGTTATAATAATGATGTCAATTTTCGTCGGAATATATCAAACCTCTTGAAGAACGTCAGTACAATACTAGGCAATGTGTAAATGAATGAAGCCTGTTCATCATGAACCCTGCGGACGACTTTTTAAAAGTAAAAGCCACATATTTTTAAGTAAATTTTTAGGACATCACATCAATGATCATCAAGATGGAGTCCTAAGAAATGCTGTATCAAGATTATTTTACTAATATTGTCTTAAGACTGCAAAAAATACTCACTGTACATCAGAAGTGTGATTTAGGTCTGAAACGCGAACCAATTAAGGTAAAAATGCATAATTACATTCGTATTTTACTTCAGGAATATCAGGAATCTCAAGGCTATTCGACCCTGACATGTTGAAAGTGAACTTAGCGGTAATATCAGTGATTTTTTTAAAGGGGAGTTGTATGCATAATCGTAGTCAGTAGTTAATTAGTTGGTTATAAATAACCTAAAATTTGGCACTATGTACATCGACCCAACGCCACAAAACTATTCCTACTATGCACAGGTTTTATTTTTTTCGAATTATCTTTGGTTAACAATCACTCGTCATAGTAATATATAGTATGTTTTTTTAGAAATCCCTTATTAACGTTAGTACACAAGTAGTAGGCTTTGATTTCACCATAAGATTAGCGTTTCATCGTGATACATTTAAATAAACTTAAAATTATTGGGAGTTTAGTGTTCTCCCTTAATTCGCACTATAGTTTGATGTAAATTTGTTTTCCAGTTATATGAGGTTCATTTTTATGAACTCCTGGATTTCATAATTCATTAGTAAATTTGATGTCCAGCAAAAGTAACTGGAACGAAAAAGCCGCTTTGCAGCTACAAAACAAAACTCTAAAAACAGTCTCAGCTATACAAAATCTTATTCAAAATATTATAAAAACTTCACATTCTGCTGAACTTATTTCTTCCGCTATCAGCCACACTATCAATCAGGATCCTGTTATATCTTCAACATCTAATAAGGTCATTCAGCTTACTTGTACCATTGACCGTCTGTCCGATCAAGAGAATCTTCTTCGAACACGTTTGGACCTCCTTTAATAGTGCTTTCTACATTTTTATCTATAAAATGCCCACTACAACTTTACCAAACATTCTAATAACGGGCACACCTGGCACCGGTAAAACAACTATCTCTAAAGAAGTATCTAGACGTAGTTCACTGAGTTATATCAGCATCAATGACGTTGCCAAGGAAGGAGAACTGTATGATGGATATGATGAAGCTAATCAGTGTCATATCCTGGATGAAGACAGAATCGTGGATGAATTAGAAGACGCTATGTCATCGGGTGGGCAGGTGTGACCTTTTTTACAATATTTATTCCCTTGTAGATTGTTGACTATCATTCCTGTGAATTCTTTCCTGAACGATGGTTTGATGCTGTGTTTGTGTTGAGAACGGACAATACCGTTCTGTATCCCCGTCTTACTTCTCGTAATTACTCCAGAGAAAAGGTATCAGACCTTATTCATTGTGAAATTGTCCAGGTTGGTCTTTCATTTTCTTCCTATTGATACCTAGAGTTGAGTATCCACTTATTGCATAATGATCATGATTATTCTGAAAAACTTGGTAAGAAACAGTTCACGTTTGAGAGAGATTATAACCAGATTATGACGAGTCTTACTATGGAAATGATATCAAATATCCTATCGGTTATTATTGTACAATGGTCACCGATAATATTCATTTCTTTCTATCTGAAGAGTCAGTAAAACATGGTCACCTAGGCTATGTAAGAAAAGTTCTATCTGACTTGATATCTGGATATTCGTTGGGCTTAAACCATTTTTCGTCGTCATGAGCTGATTATCTAACAATAATTCGAAATAAAAGGAGGCATAATTTGAAGAAACTCCGCCTGTAGCTCTTCTAGAGTCACTGCTGGTCCCAAGCCCGGGTAAAGGAGGAGGGTTGGGTATAGGGTTAACGACTCTATCCCGTAGAAAGTCAGTCAGTCAGCTACAATGTAGGACCAGGCACACATATGCATCGGTCCAAGTTGCTATACCTCGTTAGCACAACAAGATGAACACCGAATTCATAGAAGTAGTTAATTTAGTGGTGTTAATATATAAAAGAAAGATTGTATATAAGGATAAAGTACGTGAAGGAAGATAGATATGAAGCAATTTGAATCTCAAAGTTTAAGGGAAGATAAAGAGTGTATACACCTACGCCATTGTGATCGATTCTGAGCCATGTCACCTAGAGATTCCAACCATTGGTTACGATAGTCACGCGGACCCCAACCAAGTAGTCTGCATGTACTAAAATGACTCAGTCTAGAAACCTAACTCGCTAAAAAAACGATAACCAGAGAAATAATTCAAGCTATTTAAGCTCTGCCCTCCCAGTTGAAAGAAGAATTATGATGCCTCATGATGAAAACCGAGATTGTTCTGAAGTCACGAGGTCGATGACCCTTCTAACAATCACAGCAACAATTTTTATAGGTACATAGAACGTCCGGAAAATGTGAGAGACCGGGAAGACCAGTCAAATAGAAACGGAAATGAGGAAATGCAAATTGACAGTACTTGGAATCAGCGAAACTCATTGAACCCAAGCTGGATGGCAGAAGCTAGATACGGGAGAGATACTGCTGTACTCCGGTCACGAAGAGGAAAATGCTCCACACACTCAGGGAGCTGCTCTAATGCTGTCCAGAGAAGCACGAAATGCACTTGTAGGATGGGAATCTCATGGACCCAGGATAATCAATCAAAACAAAGAAGGAAGGGATCACAATGAATGTTATGCACCCACCAATGATAGCAACGACGACGATGAAGTTTAGTTCTACTCAAGCCTGCAATCAATCATAATGAAGTGCTCAAGGAAGGACTTCATCCTGATGGGAGATCTAAATGCTAAAGTTGGAGTGGACAACACAGGATATTAAGATATGATTGGACGACATGAACTAGGAGAGAGAAATGAAAATGGGGAGAGATTTACAAATCTATGTGCATTCAACAAATTGGTTATAGGCGGCACAATATTTTCACACAAAGCTACATGGATCTCACCGGACGATACCACAGAGAACCAGATAGATCATATTTGTATCAACAAAAAATTCCGAGGGACAATGAAAGATGTGAGAATCAAGAGAGGAGCTGACATACCTTCAGATTACCACCTGGTTGTGGCCAAGATTAAACTGAAGCTAAAGAAACTTTGGACAACTGGGGAAACAACAGCATTACAAAGGTTCAATACAGCCTTCCTTTGAGATACTGACAAGCTCCATGAATTCAATATAACTCTCAACAACAGGTTCCAAGTTCTACAGGATCTATCGGAAGAAGAAACTATAATGGAGGACAACTGGAAAGGGATAACAGAAGCACTAACTTCGACGTGTCAGGAGGTTCTGGGTCGCAAGAAGCATCATCATAAGGAATGGATCTCTATGGGAACCCTGGACAAGAAAGGAAAAACAAGAAAATAGCAATTAACAACAGTCAAACACGAGCAGAGAAATTCAAGGCACGATCAGAGTACGCAGAAGCAAACAAGCAAGTGAAGAAGAGCATTAAAGCTGACAAGCAGAAACACATGGGAGAAATAGCAACGACGGCGGAAAAATCTGCAAGAGAAGGTAATATGAAACAACTATATGATACAATGAAGAAACTAGCAGGGAGATTCACTTAACCGGAGAGACCAGTCAAGGACAAAGAAGGAAAGACAATCACTGAGATTCAAGAACAGAGGAAAAGATGGGCAGAATACTTCGAGGAACTGCTAAATGGACCAGCTCCATTGGATCCGCCGGAGATCGAAGCAGCACACACTGATCTTCCTATATCTGTCACTCCAACGATCGAAGTCCAGATGGCCATCCGACAAATCAAGAGTGGGAAAGCAGATGAACCTGACAACACCGTACCACCTGTAGTACTGAAGTCAGACATTGAAGTAACTGCAAACATGCTTCACCTTCTATTCAAGAAAATTTGGGTGGAGGAACAAGTGCCAACGGACTGGAAAAAAGGATACTTCATCAAGATACCAAAAAAGGAGATCTGAGAAAATTTGAGAATTACAGAGGCATCAAACTGTTGTCAGTATCAGGAAAAGTTTTCAATAGAGTGTTGCTCAACCGGATGAAAGACGCAGTAGACGCCCAACTTCGAGATCAACAGGCTGGATTCCGTAAGGATCGGTTGTGCACAGACCAAATCGCATCACTACGGATCATGGTTGGGCAATCAGTTGGGTGGAATTCGTCACTATACAATAACTTCATTGACCATAAGAAGGCGTTTGACAGTGTGAACCGGAGAACATTATGGAAACTTTTTCGACACTATGGAGTTCCTGAGGAGATTGTCAACATTATCCAGAACTCATACGATAGACTACAGTGAAAAGTCTTGAAGGACAGCTGACAGATGCATTTCCAGTAAGGACCGAAGTCAGACAAGGCTGTCTACTCTCCCCCTTCTTCTTTCGTTTGGCGATAGACTGGATTATAAAGATCTCGACATCTGAGAGGAAGCACAAAATACAATAGACATCTCAGAACCAATTAGACCATTTGGACTTCTCAGATGACCTAACCATCCTATCTCATACACACGAACAAATACAGATGAGGACAGCAAATGTAGCAGCAGCCTCTGCATTGATAGGCCTCAACATTCACAAAGGAAAAGCAAGATTCTCAAATACAACACGGAGAACACCAACCCAATCACACTTGATGGCGAAACTCTGGAAGAGATGGAAACATTCACGTATCTGGGGAGCATCGTTGATAAACAAGGAGGATCGGGTGCAGATGTAAAGGCGAGGATTGACAAAGCAAGGGCAGCATTTCTACAATTGAAGAGCATATGGAACTCAAAACAACTCTCAACTAATTTCAAGGTCAGAATCTTCAATACGAACGTCAAAACAATCCTACTGTACGGAGCTGAAACGTGGAGAACTACTACATCCATCGTCAAGAAGGTACAAGTATTTATAAACAGTTGTCTACGCAAAATACTCAACATTCACTGGCCGGATACTATCAGCGTTTTATGGGAGAGGACAAACCAACTTCTGGCTAAAGAGGGAATTAGGAAAAGACGTTGGAAGTGGGTAGGACATTAAGGAAATCATCAAACTGCATCACGAAGCAAACCCTAACCTTGAATCCTGAAGGGAAACGGAAAAGAGGAAGGCCAAACAACACATTAGGCCGAGAAATAGAAGCAGGTGTGAAAAGGATGAATGATAACTGGAAAGAATGGGAAAGGATTACCCAGAACAGGGTTGGATGGAGAATACTGGTGGGCGGCCTATGTTCCTCCACGAGGAGTAACAGGCGTAAGTTAGTAATAGTTTGAAGAATTTTGCTTCCAATTTCAGTTTTCTTAAACTTGAACAAATAGTCAAAACTTCCTACATCCCAACACCTAGAGGGTAATGCCTTGATATATCATTTGAAAGGAAATTTCGCTCTGACCTCCAAATCGCTAACAAAGTTTAGCTAACTGATCACATTTATGTAAGTGGATTATCTAGTGCTATATATGATATATTCATTTATTTATTATTTGAACACAAAAATATTGGTACAAAGGTGCACCAAATACATATGCGCTAGTAGTTATCATTGATTTGTACGAAGGTTGTGATACTACCTGAGTGCCCAAACCTGACCTGAGGGTCTAATCCACAAGGTAGTGTAGCAACAATAGGAGATTCAGTTTCGTGGTAGCCGGTGACTAACAATTGGTCCATACTCCATTTGTTCTCTCAGGAACCTGGAACCCATGTACACTATTGATTTGGAATCAAGGATTTCCAACTCTCCTAGGTGGATTCTTCATATCTACCAACCCAGTCGAAGCGCTGGACATTTGCTTTTTCTCCTCTTAATTTCGTAAACAACAGTAATGCCACGAGAAGGCAGTGAGTAGGACTTCCATGTCAGTGGTTGTATACGCGCAGCCCCCAAATGCCCTGGTACGGCCGAGAGTGGGGAGAGTCCACTCTCCCTCTCGAAATGCTCTCACATGGCCAGCGAATATACAGCCTCTGCCAGGGAAGTCCTACTCACTGCCTTCTCGTGGCATTACTGTTGTTTGCGAAAGTGAGAGGACGAAAGCGAATGTCCGGCGCTTTAATCGGGTTGGTGGACACGGAGGGTCCACCTAGGGGAGTTGGAAAACCCTGATTCCAAACCAATGGTGCACATGGGCTCCAGTATCCTGATGGAACGAATGGCGAATGAACCTGCTGTTGGTCACCGGCTACCATGGGACTGCATCTCCTTACGATGCTCCACTGCCTTGTGGATCAGACCCTTAGGTCAAAGGCTCGGGGTGTGGCCCCCTAAGAAAACCACCTGCTTCGGTTTGGGCACCCGGGCAGTATCACAGCCCACACACAAATAAATGAAATGATGAATTCTATTGACGATACTATTCTCGCTCATGCTAGAAGCAAGACAATTTACACTATTATTATTACCATTATTATTATTATTATTATTATTATTATTTACTACGTCGCTTTTTCACTCCCTTTATACCCAAATTGTGTATCCTTCCTTTCCAACTTATGCAGTAGCTCGCCCATGGTGGAAACTCTGTCCTATCTAAACGATCTCCAGTCACTGTCTGGTTGAAAGTGAATGCTTCCACCGATTACGAATACTGAAGCAGTCTTTCTGAAACCACGTACGCCGTTCAAGCTGGCCTCCTTCAACGTTCGCACACTAATGCAGATCGGACAACAGATGGGGCTGGCTATGTCTTTAGAAAGTCTTAATGTTGATGTTTGCTGTCTATCCGAGACCCGTATTCAAGACTCTAGTGAAGTACTACAAATTCGCTCTCCATCTGTCGCCTCGAAAAGCTTGTTCCACGTGCGCTTATCCGGGGACCCTGTGGCATCTTCGTCTGGTCTTGCTGGCGTTGGCGTCGCACTAAGCGCTATGGCTGAGGCAGCACTAATCGATTGGATCCCCATTAACAGTCGGTTATGTGCTGTTAGATTAGAAAGTTCCATCAAAGTGAGAAGAAACCGGCGTGAGAAACGGTGTCTTTTCGTCATCTCCGCCTGTGCCCCGACAGATTGCAGCCCGGATGCAATCAAGGATGAGTTTTACCACCAGCTAACAGTTCTTCTCCAGAAAGCGCGTTCGACAGATATTGTAGTACTAGTCGGAGACTTGAATGCACAGGTCGCGCGTCTAGGCACAGAAGAGAGTCGTCTAGGTGGCCGATCGGGACTTGTTGGTCGCAGGACAGATAACGGGGACCGTTTGCTGCAACTGTGCACAGACCACAACCTGTTTCTGGCCAGCACTAACTTCCGGCACAGTCATCGCCGGTGTGCCACCTGGCGTCCTCCCTCTGCATCTCAAGCCTGGACTCAGATTGATCACATCGCGATCAGCTACCGCTGGCTTGGTTGTGTACAAGACTGCCGCTCCTTTTGAAGTACCTATCTGGAGTCTGATCATGCCCTGGTCTTCGCGAAACGTCCCGCTTACAAGCACTGGGTTTCTTCTGGCTCCTTACAACTGATGGAAGCCCGTCGGTCTACTCCGGTTGACCGTGAGTATGACCACAAACGAAGGTTGTTACGTAATGAAATCGGGCAAAGCTTGCGTAAGGATCGAGAAGCCTGGTGGTCGGAGCGTGCTAATGAGATGGAAGCAGCAGCTGCATCTGGTAACTGCCGGAAGCTCTTCCAACTCATCCGAGCCACTGGCAGCAAGAAGTCTGGTGTTAGTGAAACAATCTACGAGGATGACGGGATGCCAATCACTAACATCTCTCGACGTCTTGGACGATGGGCGAAATTTTTCGAAGGGCAGTTCAACTGGCCTGCTGCTCCGGCAACATGAATCAGCTTGTCCTGCCCCCCATGGTCGGTGACGACTGATCCACCAAACGAGGCGGAAGTCCGCAAGGAACTCCAACTCTCGAAGCGCTACAAATCACCTGGCCCAGATGACTTACCTCCGGCTCTTTTTAAAGATGGTGGTGACTTTCTGACTAAGGAACTGACGGTGTTGTTTGCAAAGGTTTGGGAGCAAGAAAGTGTTCCAACATCATGGAATAAGTCAATAGTCGTCCCTATCTTTAAAAAGGGTTCACGTTGTTCCTGTAACAACTATCGGGGGATAAGTCTACTTCCGATTGCGTCCAAACTATTGGCTTCTATCATTCTTCGTAGGTTGTTTAAAACCCGAGAACGATTGACTCGCGAGGAGCAGGCTGGTTTTCGTTCTGGTCGAGGATGCATTGATCACATCTTCACCCTCCGCCAAATGTTAGAACACCGTCATACTTATCGCAGGCCAACAATCGTAGTGTTTCTTGATATCAGGGCTGCCTTCGATTCGTTGGACAGGACTGTTCTCTGGGATTGTCTTTTGAAGAAGGGTGTGCCTGAGAAGTTCATTAACATCTTAAAGGCCCTATATAGGAACACCTCAGGCAGAGTGAGGGCATACAACCACCTTTCTCCCTTGTTCCATTCGAGCAGTGGGGTTATGCAGGGTTGCCCGATCTCACCATTCCTCTCCAACTTTGCAATCGATGACATCCTGGAAACAGCTCTGATGGATGTAAGTAATGGCGGTGTGGATATGTTGCCTGGAGAACGACTTCTCGACCTCGAGTATGCGGATGATATTGTCTTACTGTGCGATAATGCCCAAGGCATGCAATCCGCACTTAATCAGTTGGCAATCAGTGTTCGCAGGTACGGTATGTGCTTTGCACCCTCCAAGTGCAAAGTACTCCTACAAAACTGGCAGGATTCTCATCCTGTACTCACCCTGGATGGTGAGCAGATTGAAGTAGTTGAGAAGTTCGTGTATCTAGGTAGCTGCATAAGTGCTGGCGGTGGCGTGAGTGATGAGAGTGATTCACGTATAGTGAAAGCCAGAGCGGCTTATGTCAATCTGGGCCATCTTTGGCGTTTTCTTGATGTTAGTCTGACTGTAAAAGTTCGGATCTACAACTCGTCGATGAGAGCAGTTTTGCTCTATGATTGTGAAACCTGACCTCTCCGAGTTGAGGATGTTAGACATCTCTCTGTGTTCGATCATCGTTGTCCTCAAAGGATTGCTGACATCCTGTGGCAACACCATGTTAGTAATGCAGAGGTTCGGCATCGTGTGTTCGGGCGCCGAGACGATAATTCAATTGGTGTCACCATCTTGAAACACCGACTTCGGTGGCTTGGACATGTTTTACGAATGTCGTCCCAGCGACTTCCACGTCGTGCATTATTTGCCGACTCTGGGACTGGTTGGAAAAAGCGGAGAAGAGGTCAGTGTATGACATGGTGTCGTGGCGTGAAAGAAAGCTGCAAAGGGCTAGCTTCTTGTTGTATCCCCTGGCGAATTATGAATCATAAATCTGAGGTCCATTTATGGACAAATGTAATACACCTATTCCTATTGGATAGTTGTTAAATAAGTGACTTAAATCTGAGGTCTATTTATGGACAAATACAATATACCCATTCCCTATTGGATAGTTGTTAAATAAGTGACCTAATCGTTTCCGTGTTCCTCTTATCATAACCTTTATTTTGACCTTGGAACTATTATTATTGATTACTTTCCACCTAGCTACAGCCACATTGACCAATTACTGTACAAATGTTATTTTTCTATTTTTGATATATGTGGTCTGTTTGGTTAGTATATATAACCCAGTATGCTTGTAAATAATGATTCATACTGCTGAGGCTGTTATTTGTGTTCTGGACTTAACGGGCTGGGCTAGGCAGATAGGAAGGACCGAATAGCACCCAAGACTGCTCGTACGTATTTTCTGTATCATTGCACGTTCATATATATTTTAAGGGCTCAGAAATCTATACGTTATATCACTTCTGTTGGTCCTTCACGACTCCCTGGCTGGGGTCCGAGAGATGGTGCAACACAGTGGCTAGAGACTTTATCAGATATGGCTTAGAATAGAAACCAGTGGCGATCCTGCTGCAACCTTCTTTTACTTCCTACATAAAAAGTGGTTCTCACTTTCTTAACTGAAAGAGTCTTCTGGTTGTACATTTCAGTCCGCCTTATCTTTTCATCCCTTCTCTTCCTACTTTCATTATTTTGTGTAGCGCATATGTATCTGGTGCCCTTTTGTACCAATATATATATGTGTTTAAATAAATAAATCATAAACGCGCAGCCATGTGAGAGTATTTCGAGAGGGAAAGTGGACTCTCCTTACCCTTAGCCAGATAGTATCACAGCTCTCACACAAATCAATGATAAATAATACTGGCGCATATGTATTTGGTGACCCTTTTTACCAATATTTATGTACTCAAATAAAAATAAATGTGAGTGAAGTTTTTACTTACACATAGTCCATCAGTTCAAGTTTTCATACATCAAATCAGCAGAGGAAAAAATTGAATGTTAATAAGGGAAAATTGATAAGGGATAAAATAAAACTCACCTAAGTTCCATGTTTTAATCTGTCTGACAGTTTACTCAAATCTAACAGATGACAACATCGGTATTATATTGTAAAGTGCACTGAAGCAACGTTCAAATTTTATTCTGGATTGTTTAAAAAGAAAATAAGATTAAATGATGACATGGTTTTATCATTTCTTAGAAATTTTGTTGGAAAGTTTTTGGAAAACAATTTAACGTAATGTGAAATAATACAAAATGTACTGAATAATTCGTATATCCTTGTTGCTTGAATCTTTCCATTGATGTGTAGGACTGCAACCGACTAGTCTGTTTTGACGTATGTGCATCCTGTGCGGATAGCTAAGTGGATCAGATGATAGCATTTGAAGCGAAAATTAATGCGTTCAAGTCCCGTAGTGAACACCAACTTTGGGATGCAGATACATTCGGCTAACGACCTCTGATTAGGACGAAACGTGGACCCTGGATTCCACCGTCAGCCACCACTCATCTCTGCTTAAAATGTACAAAATAATTGTTGGGTTTCTTTTGAAATGAAATTGAACATTTAGTCTTTGTGCACATTAACTGAAAAGCTCCCTCACTTGTTTTCAGTGATCTTATGACTAATATAATTAGTAATAAAAGTCATATTTGTATAAATAAGTGTAAAAATACTTGAGTTTTTCCCATTTTTATTTGACTACTATCGTATATTCCTTTCAATTTGTATTATCCTTCTCTCTCTTTATATATATATATATAGGTTGTTCTGGACGAGGCTCGGGAATCGTATAATACAGACATAGTACATGAACTAATTAATAATACCCCTGAAGATTTAGAAAAAAATATTTCTCAAATCTGTGAATGGATCAAGCAGTGGCACGCTGAATCGTCCTAAATTCGTTCTCATATTTCTATATATCAAATTAAACTGCGTGAAAAAATAATTGGTGAGAAACGGCATATATATATTGCTATCTTTCCTTAAACTTTTTTCATTTCCATGAAAACTATAAAATATGAATAAAACGTATATATATTTGATTCTTGCCTTTTGAATATATGTATCATTTTGAAATTAATACACCCTACAGTCTGCCAATCGTAATCAACGTATAGCCTGGCATAGCTGTGTATTGGCCCAAATTACCACACCACATTCTTCGTCTCTGCCAACGTCCCTAATCTCTACAATTTAATAGAATTGGAGGATGAGTTTTCAAAAAGTTTTATGTTATCCTCCAAAATGCCAAACCCTCGGACGTAATTGTATCAAGGGGTTTTAATGTCTAAGTAGGTAGTATAAACCAAAGTCGAAGACACTTAGGTAAGTCTTCCTGTGTCCCAACTCAGTGAATAGACAATGAAAATCGTGTGCTCCAACTATGTTTAGACAACCGTTTATTCTTAGCAAACACCAATTCGACTCATAAAGTGAAACATCTGATATAAAAGCCCTCAAAATCTGTTTATCAATACACAAAAAACATCCTATATTTCAGGAATAACTAGAGAAGCAGTTAGCCAATCGTCAAAATGTGATGTTCACCTCTATATGTATTGGCGTGATATCCAAACAGCAATGATATCTACCAAATGGTTAAAAAGCATCGATAGGTTTCAATCGCAGCTACTGAATTATCGGCAACTCATCCCATCAGAGTCGAAACACGATCAGGGACAAAGGCAATTTGGATGTAAACTGACGAAAAACCTGTGCAATGATCATGGGCAGTGGTATGCAGCGGAAGTGAAAGAGATGGAAATGACTGTGGTACTATGCAACAATGCATAGCTTTTCAAATTTATAAAAAAACAGGTATTAAAGACTTGGGATTTAGTAAGACTATCAAAAAGTGGGATAATGACTCACTCTTAATTCAGGAGATTGAAAAGCTATGTGGAACACTCTGAAGTACAGTTTATCTGGTCTCGAATCACTCTCAAGTTACCTATTGTTACCAAGCAACCCTAATGGGATGTCAACATAATTCTTCTTAGACTGAGATGGTTCGGCCACATATTATGCACATCCAACCACCGACTACTACGGTGCGCAATGCTGACTAGTGTTGGAGACGGATGGAAGAAAGTTAGGGCGGCTAAACCAAAACGTGGCATCAGAGCTTGAAGTCACTAACTTCTAGTCTGAGCCACGTTAGTGGATGCAGACTACTTGGTTGGGGTCCGCGTGACTACCATAACCAGTGGTATGAGACTGAGTTACATGGCTCAGAATCGATCACAATGACGTAAGTGTATGCACTATTTGTCTTACCTTAAAACGGGAGACCAAAATTACTCTATAGCTTCCTTTCTGCGAAAAAAGTTCTTTCTCTATGTATCATATCCTAACACTCAGTCTTTCTTTCATATATTACTACCACTGAAGTAACTGCTTCTGTGAGTTTGGTGTTCATCTTGTGCTAATGAGGTATGGAAACTTGGACCAATATATATATGTGCCTGGTCCTACGTTGTAGCTAACTGACTGAAAACATAAACTCCCGATCCCTCAAGGGATTTGGAAAAGCTGTAATTAATCTAAAGCAAAGGAAGGTACCAGGCCCCGAATAATTAACCACGAAGATCTTTAGGGATATTGGCCCACTTTTATCTGTTAGGTTAGCTGAGATACTAACCAGAGTCTGAGAATTGAACTTACTACCACCTGACTGGTCCCGGTCGCTGATCAATCTGGCCTATAAGAAAGGAGAAAGATCCTCGTCACAACCACAGAATAATTCGTTTGGCTAATGTAGTATCTAAAATATTAGGCTTAATAACCGTCCAACTCTTGGCTAGGGCTTGTTAAGTATAAACCTCTGAAAGCCAGGCTGATTTCAGATCTGGACGCAGATACATGCACTAGATGTTCACCCTTCGTCATGCTCTGGAACAAACATACCTCCTAACAGCTGTATTTCTTGACCCTAAGGTTGCATCCTATTCCGTAGATCGACCGGTTTCAATGATAGTGTCTCATTGAAGACGTACCTAAGAAGTACATTAACTTTGTACAGACTCTGCTCGAACACGACTCTTGGAATCAGAGCTAACAGCAAACCGTTGCCGAAGTTGGTTACGACAAGTGGTGTTCTTCAGGGTTGACCACTTTCTCCATTTTTACTTAATTTTATCGTTGACCTTATTTTAAAGATAATGCTCTCATCATCTGACTTCTTAGAGATTGATCTATCGGCAAGTTCACTCGACCTAAAATATGCAGATGATATCGTCCTGCTTCGTGAAAACCCTGACTAAATGAAAAATCCTCTAACCCTTTTAAGCAGCAGTGAAAACATGTTTAGAATGCTTTTTCCTACCTCTAAATGAGAAGCACGCTTTCATGGCTGGTATTCATCAACCCTTAAATTGATTATAGGAAATGAAGTAGCTGAGCTTGTTAGTCACTTCACTTATCTTAAAGCTGTGGTCAGCCACTGTAAGTTGTTTTATGATGAGTTGTTGAGTTTTGCCAATTTTTACCGTTTGAGGCGTATACGGGGTGTCCGTCTGCCAACCAGAAGACGGGTATACTGTACAGTAGTTTGGTGGCTATGAACCTTTACCTTTGAAAACCAAGGATATTCATAGGTTAGTAGTATTTGGTCGTAGATGCCTTGGAAGCATTCCTAGTGTATGTAGTTATCACCAGGTGAGCGCTGCTGAGGTTAAACTCAGAGTACTAGGTAGAAATGGTAAATCTGTTGATAAGATAGTAAATCTTTGTCTACTACCGTGATTGAGATATGTGTCACGCATACTGAACCATCACTGACCTTGATGGGATATGTTTGCGTATGTAAGAACGAGTCGGAAGAAAGCTAGTGCTGGCAAAACCTAAACATCTGTGGAGTCATTGACTTTTGGACTCAGACGTATAAGTAGATGCAAAATTCTTGGTTGAGGTCCGCGTGATTGTCACAATCAATGTTCACAGACTGGATGGCATAGCTCAGAATCGGTAGCAATGGCATCTTAGCGTTCTTTCCTTGTGTTCCTTTAAATCTCAAATTTCTCAACTACATCACAAATGTTTTTTTATTTCCCTAATCCATATTTTACTTCCGACTTTGTTCTATCGCCAATCTTTTCTACTACCACCAATATTACTACTATTCACACCACTCTACCATCTCACTCTGCTGATACTGGCAATTTCGAACCGATTAACAATATTCCAGGTTGTATATTGCGTATTACTTGGCGATTTTTTACAAGGTCTTTTCCTATGGGATGGGGTTTCTGACCCCATGCCCAACCCTCCTCCTTTACCCGGGCTTGGGACAGGCAGTAACCCTAGAAGAGCTACAGGCGGAATTTATGTTGCGTATGACCGACTGATGTTAGCACGATAAGATGAGATAAACAAAATGAAAAGCAAAGGGATCGAAATAGTATAGTGACAATCATAATGAAAAAAGTTAAACATTGAAGATATGGTCCGAAAATACAGGATGAATATGTATGGAGAGGATGGTACAGCTCAAGACCTAGAGGAAGATGAAGAGTGAATATGTCTACCCAACTGTGATCGATTCTGAGCCATATCTCCAACCACTGATCTCAGTAATTGCTTTTGCTTCAACCAGATTAATACACTTCCCAACATGGATCAAACCACCAGTCAATGTTTCCATGAACTGATGCCACGTTTGGGTTCGGGGAGACCTAACTTGCTTCCGACTTATTCCTACACCAGCAAACATTGCCTATTAAGGTACGCGACTGTTCGGTATACGTAAAATATCCTAACCACGTTAGTCAATAACGATCCATAACCTCATCTATTCATTCTTCTGAATTTTCTATCATCAAATGATACGAGGATGTATCCCATTAGGATGTTAATAATGCTAACATTTTTCCAAAATTATTTGTGATGTGAATTTTTTTTCTAATCCCTACTCTGCAATGTATTGGAGTTCTGTTCTTCAGACCCTTATCAATCCAGCCCAAATTAACAATTTAATAAAGTCTTAAAAGGAGTCTGGGAATAAGAATATTCTCGAGCAGTTTGATTATTATTCTTGTCCATTACAGGCACCTACTAATTACCACTTATTACTATTCAGAAGGCTAGTAAAACATATTTGAACTAATTGAGGTATTTATCTACTCACGACTGACTGATCCATTCACCCTTCGAATAATGAGTATATCCAGGAAAGATAGCGAACGCTTTTTCCAATTTTCACAAGAAAGCAGATTTAATTGTGTACCATGTTCCGCACTTTCATTAGACATGTTTCATCTTCAAGCTCGCTACATAATGCTATAATCTTATCCACATATCTTTTATGAAAACAGATATTTCCAATTAAATTTTCAGATAAAATAATTGTAAAAGACTGATTTTATGTATCACATTTCTTGATGCTCTGGTTTACTAGAATTTATTCGTTAGAATTTAAATAAGAAAAATAGCCTATAGTAACATTTATAACTTCGTCAGGACGAAAACATTACCAACATATCAATAATCTTTCTCAGGGGTATATCACTAGTCAAAAAACTCAAATCAGAAGAATAACTTAATGTCTAACAGGAATATCAAAAATTGATGAAAATAAATCAAGTGTTGTTTCGTAAATAGGCACATCGTTAAAAATAATAGTTTCATAGGATGGGAAGCGCATTGAATACTAAAATATAAAAGGGTATACAAATATTATAAAAGATAATTGAACAACCTAAGAATACCCAAAGAAATAAACATGATAAGTGATTTTATGCAACAAAAATCTCACTAACCATGGTTCACAAACCCTGTATATTTGTGGACGCAATTGGAACTACTCATTATCAATAAGTTGTATAAATTTCACAAGAAAAGATATACTTCGAATCTATTGTTACATATAACGGGCTTACAAACGAGTGTGGAAAACAATG